TTTCAGATTTCAAAATAATGTAATATCTTCCTACGCGTCGGGAGACAACACAACCTGATGTAGCTAAAATCTACTACTTTTTTCCCTTGTTTAATAATAACTTCAGTTCTTCTGTGTATCAGAAAAAAATAGATATTCCAAAAATTCACTTTTTTCGATATAACTGAAAAACTAACAACAATTTTGAAAATTTTCAAAGGCTGTTGGTATGAGCCTCCAAATGCGCAACTTTTTCCCCATTTAACCGACTTCGTATCTCCTACCGTGCCCGAGATCCACATGCTGTGCAACCTTATCTCGGACAGACTGTATTTCTATACATATATTGTCGTGATTTATTTTGCCAAAAAACACTAGAACTTTTTTGTTATTGAATGAAATTCCTTACTGATTCAAAAATGTTTCATCGGTAATTTGACTCTGATGGCCAGAAACTGACATTATACAAAATCGCTAGACCTATGCATATAATCTAGTTTTTCTAATAATATTACCGCTGGGAAATTTTTTCTCTTTAGGAAGAGAAATTACTCCGACTGAATAATCTCTTGTAGTTTTACGGTTGATAAAACATGGAACAGTTGAATTGCAGCAGTGATAAAACTCCTGCATGTTTTATTCAAAACGAAAGCTCTCAATTGACCACAGAGATCGATTGGTCCATATACCTTAATTTGTTTTTTCTGTGGCGGGAATAAATTTCAACATTTTATCTCTGTTGAATGGTTATAAAATGTCACTTTTCATGAATTAATTTTTCCAACAGGAAAGAATCAGTACTTATACGGATATATACACTGTTGATAGCTTTTGTTGTGTTAGCTCCGAAAAAGAAGCCACTAACACCGTCTCCGAGAAAGAACTGCAAGTTCTTTTATCTTCCATTCCACTTCGCGGTTACGTGAATTACTTTCAGTAATTTCAGTTCTTCCTCGGAGAAGGTGTTATTGGCTTATTTTTCGAAACTGTCACAACAGGAGCCATCAACAGTGCAACTATATATCCAGGAAAAAAGAACTCTTTTTTCCCGTGAGAAAAAAGTTATTTATGAAAAGTGACATTTTGTAACCTATCAACAGAGATAAAATGTCAAACTTGTTTCCCCTTGCAGAAAAAAAATATTATTATAGAATTCATGCATTTTTAAATTGTGCTATGATTATAATATAAGACGTTAGAACAGATAAAAAGGCGGGCAATAATGTTCGGTTGACAGAAAAAAATCCAGATGCGGTGAATTTTGGTCTTAGTTCTTTGACGAATTGACCAAGTCTAACAAGTTCTCTCTTGATATTTTCGTCCTCGACAGTGGCTTCTCGATAACAGCAGGTTCGTATCGGCAAACTGCCACATTTCTCCACTTTGTCGAAAGACATAATGGTGACAACGAAACAACCCTGAAAATATATTATGATCATTCTGAAATTGAATCCTATGCTGGAACAACGATGTGACCGCTAATATTTTTAGAAACGGTATTTTCATTAAATAACGTTGTATGTAACCTAAACAATCCGTTGTTATCATTGCGGGGCCAAAGGAATTTTTTCTGGTGGTTTTCTGGTGTCATTTCAGGCAAGTTTTGATAGTTTTGTGAAACAATAACGTTGTATGCGCTATTACGGCTTCTAAACTATACGCAACACCAATTTCGTCGAACCCCAAAATTTTGCCCTGTTTTCTGCTTTGAACAATTTGAGTTTGGTTCACACTGTATGCTTGATGACAAGTCCCTCAGCTATAATCTCGTACTTTTTTGAAACATAAGGTTCTTCACATAATATCGCTACAGCGTGTTACCGTAAATTGTGCAAAACTTCGGGATTTTCAAGAGGATCCCGAATGGAGAAAAACATTTTGACAGGATAGGCATGAAGATTATCTCACCATCTAATTGTCTTCATATCTTTTTTATTTACAGAGTGATCTCAAAAAATTTTACTTTTTAGTTTTGCAGTCATGACTTCTTTCCTCGTCATCCGATTTTCAAAATTTCAGGCTGATTATTTTGAAGCTGAAACTTGATATGGAGAGATATGAAGATCAAACTTGACTCAAGATGGACAATAAAGGTCGAGAGATTTTTCAAACGTGACCCAATAGTTGAAGTCGAATTCAAATTGTTCAAAGCAGAAAAAAGTTATCAATATTTTAACAGGGGCACGATTTTGGGTAAATTAGTGGTTTCCCGCGCGTTTATAATATATTAATATTATATTTGGCGTTTACAACGTTCTTCCAACATATCATAGAAAGGAAAATAATTTTGTATTATTTGTTAATGGGAGACTTCGGTCCAATAGTTGCCAACCGAAAAAGCTCTACCAATGTATAATAAGCATGATTAAGCAATATAATGGAAGTTTTATTACCCAAATATCATTATTTTGATGAAATCTGGTTGTATAGGAGTCTAGTCAGCTTTCTAATAGAAGTAATAATTCAGAAGAAGATTTATAGTTTTTGCGAACTCTACCTCAGATTGGTTGAGAACACCAGTTGAGAATCATATGTTGGTGTATCATCGTTACTTCAATACTTGTGTCAACCCAACAAACAAAGAACTACCGCGATGTTATTGGTCCAATGCTTTCTCTGCTGAGGAAATGACTGCAACGGCAAAAATCTGTTGGCCTTTCACATTCTCGTAGTCACTTTGCCAGTGAAGCAAATAAGTATATTGGGCCTCCATCGTTTAATAGACTTTGGTGTTGCCAGGAACGACAACAACTTTTACTCAATCATTAAAAAGGCCAATGCTGGGCATTCAACCAAGCCTATATGTTCCAGATAAACATTAATCTTTCTTATATATAAGAGTAAATCATTATCGAATAAAGTAGACTAGAAATAAAACAACGTCCAAATATCTAATAACATTTATTGTCTAGGATGAAAATCTGGTGTCAATATCTTTTACAGTCTTTATAAGATTTTTTTACATATTATTGACTGAAAAAAAATTATATCTGATGTCTGCATCCCTGGTTTTCGACATAGCAGAACTTTTTATGAAAATGCTTTTTTCCTCGATCTCCTTCATAAAAATAATAATAAAAAGTTCTCCATATACAGGGTGGGTCACGGTCGATGACACCTTAGACGTTTACGGAGAACGGGACATAAGATCATTCTGAAAATTTGGTTACTCAAGTAATTGCTCTTGATCTATCGATCTAAAATATTTTCAGCTCTGCGGCGTTGCCGCTTCTATCGAAAAGTAGCAACAACTTTGTTATTTTAAATGGAACACCCTGTATTTCATCGCATTTTCAGATTCTCTCTCATCTCTTCATCGATGTATCACACTTGGGGTCTAGCGGAAATGATTACAGAGATATAGGGTGTGAAAAATCGACATTTTTCAACTTTAGGATTTTTTTTTGACGAAACTATTCATTAATTGGTCAAAACGGCTCACATGTCCCTATCCCAACTTTTGATCAACTATCTACTGATGCAAATTGAGAAGCAGTTCTTTTGGCATTTTGCATGATCTTTCTGAATAATCTGATAACCATTTCCGAAAATTATTCACAAAGTGAACTTTTTCGATGTAACAATAAAACATGAATTTTTCCCAAGCCCGGATCTGCATTTTTTTCATACGATGTCATCTTGAATAGTTTCAATAGAGAAACGTCGCTGACAAATTTCAATCAAGATGAATTATTATTTTTGAAATATCGGCCATCGAAGTTATTTGGCAATTTCACAAATTACCCTTGTCTTCCCTGTGGATGTCACCAAAAAAAAATATGTTTCATTTTATTTGTATACATCAACTCCTGTCTTCGATTTTTCCTATTCCCTATATTTGGCTATGGGAGTTTCCTCATGCGAATCACCTGTATAAACTTGTGAATACGGTTAATACCCATCATTTGCATGTAGGTAGATATAGTTATAGTTATACAAAAAAACAAAATAAGGGCTAGATTTGTCTAGCTCTTCAGCCGATTCAAACAAATGTTCATAAATAATGACTTGCCTCTAGAGATGGTCAACCCAATGAAACGTTTTTATTTCCTTATATTATTTAATGTTTCTGCTATAATACAGTCTGATTTTTTCATAAAGTGTGGTCGACCAACTTTGGGATTTTTTTTAATTTTCTTTGAAAATACACCATCTCGAGTATGGATGATTTCTACGATACATAATATAATAATCCTTATGTCATTATGTCTCATATTATATGAGCGATTTTATGGAATTGATGTACCCATATACCTACTTACCGATTGGAATAAATTGTGTAAAAAAAAAAGAATAATAAAAACAACCATCTTCTTGAATGTATTAGCATCAAGGGACATAAGTTTCCCCCACAACAAAAGAAGGCTAACCAAGGAATTCATAAGTATCCATATTATGAATTTTCCGTATATCCCATTGAGCTGTGTGACCATATCGCTCAAAAATACGGAAAACTGCTTCAACTTCGCCACTTTCAAAATAACTTGTTCCGTCTTAATGTTGAACGTTGCATCAATAATGTTATCCAAATATTCGTATCTTCTCTTCAACAAATCAGTTAATTCGTATATCTGAAGTATGAGCAGGAAAACTTGTGATTTCCATAGGATGAAATAAGTAATCGAGAAAATGTCTGTTGCTGAAGGACCATCTTCCAGAATCACAGTGATTCGATAGGCTGATAAGACCATAACAATAACTAGGAGAGAGAAAACAGAAACTGAGATGTGATGGGTCGGAGATTTAATATCCTTGAAGAATATTCTGTTTTTCATTTCTTCATCAAATCTGTTCAAATTCGTAATCAGTTTTTGCCAGTGAGGCCTATCTGTGATCGAGCTGGATATTCCAACGGTTTGGAAATATATTTTCATTGTCAAGTGAATAACAGAATAACACCAGTCACTAAGGTGCCAGAAACCTTCAATTTCAGTATAGAAACTGAAAACCGCACAAGTTACCAAAACCATATAGTACAAACATGAGTATGTTATTGTCCAGAATGATCTAGAAGGGTATGGCACAATTCCAAGCATAAACCCTAGTTTCTTCAGAATCAGAGAAAGGACAATGTCTTTGTTACAACCGTTTACTGAACTCATATTTTTGACTTTGCTAAGGAATACGAATACACTTCAACTATGTGGCTCAATATGATTAATACATTAATGGAATTCAGTCCAATCAATTTTATACTTAGAAGAAATAATGTCTATACATTTGTTCATTGGAAAAACTGAGTGCATTAATGCTGATTGCTTGTATTTCATATTCTTCATAATGAAAATATATTTATTACTGTTATCATGAAATAGGTAGTTATTTGCATTACTTAGAGTGTAAGACATTTTTGTGACCCGGAAAAAAATCCTAGTTTCCAGGTGAAAAATACTCTTCCTATTCTACAGGGTGATTCAGGTTTTAAGTCACAAACTGAAATGGGAGATTTTAATCATTTTAATCAAAAAAGTTTATATAAACATTAGTCCGATCTTGTTCAGTAGCGGAGCTACAGGGGGTCAAAGTTTAATATTTTTTTTCTATTAATTGAAATATCTCGCTTACTTTTCAAGATATCATTTGGATATTTGTTATCTCAAAAACGGTTTGTTTCTCGAAAAAAATTTAAGAGCAAAAAAGCCTCTAAATTGAACGATCCACACAATTTGATCACTGAAAGATGCCAGAGGCGTACATAAAAAAAGTTTGAAGGGGATAAAGAAGCCTCTACGTCCAAAAAAGTATCACCCTATAGATTTTGAAAATCTTTAAAAGGCTTGAAATGATAATCTTCTAGGAAGTATTGACCACACCAAATTTCAAAATGATATCTTCAAAAGTAAGTGGGATATTTCAATTAATAGAAAAAAATAATTTAACTTCCACCCCCTGTAGCTCCGCTACTGAACGAGATCGGACTAATGTTTATATTCACTTTTTTGATTAAAATGATGAGATCTATCTCCCATTTCAGTTTGTGCCTTAAAACCTGGATCACCCTGTATATTCCATATTTCAAATTTTAGAGAACAAACACATTAATATTTATAACAAAAATGTACTATTTTAAAATGTTAAATTAAATTTCACATAGTTGTTGAGTCATAAGGGTGACACAAAGGCTAGAACTTCAATATATTGATGATAAACAATCAAATTTTGATGGTATTTGGAATTTATTCAGCTGCTTTCACCAAGGCTTCTCCAACTTCAATTGCAATTTCTGCTTCTGCTCTGGCCTAGAATAATAAATATAATAATAAACACTTGAAACAATAAATCAAGAACATTTACACTTGCTATATCTTTGAATCTGCAGAAGCAAGATTTATAAAATCATATAGCAAGATAGACTGGGATATATTCACAAGTTTTCGAAACTTTCAATGGGTCAAAATGTGGCAGGTCAATTTCAAATGCTAGATAATCTAGAGAGCAAGTATCATTATAATAAAACTAAATGAATCATATAGCTTGATCTTGATTGAAGGAAAAATTTCAATGACAACTCTATATTATACAGAGAAGTGCACAAAAAACTACAAGTGCTGTAACTTTGGAATCATTGTAGAAAGATCCTGCAATTTGTTTGTATATCAAATTGATCATTCATAGATAAAACCATTTTTGTTCTATCACTTCCAGTTCAACTGCAAGCAACCCCAATTTTCTTATTTATAAATAGGACACCCTGTATATTTTTTTATATTTGGACCCAGAGGATCATTAAACACACTAAATTTTTTGATCAAAATGTTGAAATATATAAGGTGTCCTATATGAAAATTAAAAGTTGTTTCCCTTAGTTTTTGATGGCATCACAATGTCATCTAATGACCTGCCAGCAAATTTCAAAACCAACATTGAATGATTCAGAAGTTACAGCACTGGCCATTTTTTGTGCATTTCTGTTATATAGGCATAGGATTGGACAATTCTCTGAAGTCATTGATTATTAGAAATCATCACATTATTTCTATTCATCCATAAATAATTATTCAAAAAATATATGTAGTAGTTTGGGTTAGTACTTCAAAATAATTGAATGAAATGTTCCACTGAAACAAGGCCATTGCTAGCACCTACCTGATCATTGGTAGCTGATGACAGTTCACTCTGAGCTTTGCTGAGAATATCTCTAGCTGTTCCAACATCAATATTAGCTACAGGATGAGCTTCCTCAGCCAAAATCTGAAAAAAAAAATCATAAGTACTGTACATAATTTATGAGATCAATTATTACTCTTTCACTTGAATATAGAAAAATTCTATGAAATTGATAACAGCTGTACTGTACTGTATCTGGCTTACCTAGAAAAGCCTTTTGGAAAATTTAAAATTCTAATATAGATTTAGAATAGATGAAAATAGTATCTAGATAATTCATGAAATCATTTTACTTTGAAAAAATCTCTCAATGGACATCTAAAATTCTGAATATTGCCCTGTTTGATTTCCTTGTGTTTCTCACCTGTACAGAAGAATCATCATTGATGGTTACAGTTCCACTGGACACGAAAATTTTGTTCACATTACCACTGTCTTCATACACTGACACTACTCCTGGTTTGAGTACTGCTAAGGTGGGTACATGTGCAGGAAGGATACCAAAACTTCCTGAAAATGAGGGAACATCAACTTGTTTCACAGATTTTGCCTCATAATAAACCTGAAATAAACAATGAATGAATAGTAGAACTAGTTGATCATATTTAGGATTATTCACCTGATTTCCAGCAGCAAAAGTGAAACTCATTTGGTCTGCATAGGCCCTTTTGGTAGTTGTGCTGAAGGATCTCAAAGAGAAAAATTTAGAAAGGGATCTGACTGCTGCCATTTCAACCTAAAAGAAATAAAAGTAGAAATTGAACATTATTCCCAATTACATAATAAGTTGGGGACTTGTTTTATGAATGAGCTGGAGAAACCGCCACATGAAAATATAGGGCAAAATTTCACTGTCAAGAAATGTATTCAATAGAACAAATCATACCTGGTATATTCGATTATGTGAATTGAATGTAATATGAATTTTATATATGACCCAGCAGATCTACTCGCTCAAAATTGAAGAAATGTCGAAAGTCGAAATTTGAAGATCAATCTACTACGATCTACGTCATACGGTCATAAATGTCAAAAGTCAAAGATAGGATAGAGATGGGTGGGTTAGATCCAACTGATAACTGATCCAACTGTAAGTAGATATGAATGTCTCTCGCAAGTCATTCAATTAGTGGCATGCTGCTGTGCTACTTGTGATAAACAAGCCAACACAGGATATTCATTATTTCTTCGTAGTTAGAACTTTTGAGTAGTGCTCAGTGGTCTGTGTATCTGACTTCCACAGATGTGGTTCGCTTTCACATCGCTGCGAGGCGTATTTTTTTTTATTTTTTTATTGGTTTTTCCATTTTTTTCACAATAAGTTATTTTTCGAAAAATATGCTTTTCAGAAGAAGGATCATTTGGAACGAGTTTCGTTGGAAGCAGTTGCCCTTTTATTCTCCTTCCTCATACCTTCTGTCTTCTTCTGATATAACCTTGATATTTTCCGCATCACGGCAGCATGCTACTGATTGAATGACTGGCGAGAGACGTTTGTGAGTAGATCCAACTGAATCCGTTCCATTACTACTAGCGTCTAGAGACAGACATCTTCAATGACATCTTAGACCCTTCTCACTTCCATTTCCATCATTACGTAACGAAGATTACTGTGTGTTTGAATCCCTGCGACGATCGGCTTTATTTTCTTCTGTTTTTTCAAGTGATTTTCCGAAAAATATAATTATTAGGAAGGAAGTACCGTCTTTTTTATCAGAAATTTCATTGAGGCCAGGTGAGGTTTAGATGGTTTCAAACAAGAAGCGTCCTTTTTTATGCAGGAGGGATATTTTTCTTTCTTCCTGAAAAAAGTACTGTGAAGGCATTTACTGTTGAGGCCGATAGTGATTCGCTATTTTCATGATGTTTTTTCCAGTAAATTTTCTGTGACTTGATTTTGAGCCAATCAAACCCTAACAACACAGGGATGTCCTAGGTGCGTCCCTTTTATGTCCCGCGGTACAAGGAAATGATTGGGACACCCAGGGGATGTCCCGCCAGTAGTTGTCCAGTGGACATCCCACCCGGTACATCCCTAGGTTATCCCATTCGTGTCCCTGGAATATCTGATATCCATTCTTCACATCAGAGAGTCATTCAATATCATCAAAATATTGAGTCGAATTTTTTCGAAAATGTATTTCTTCCGGAAAATAATTGTGATGAAAATAAAGAATATAGTCTCAAAACGTCTCAAGAAATTACCATTTTTCGCAAACAGAGATCGTAAATGCATAATGCCCCTCATTTTCAAACACCCAAGAATCATAATAATTATACCCGAATCCTAAAAGTTTTATTTATCCAGCTTTCTGTAGTTGTCCTGTTTATAAATCTGTTCAATACATGAATCTTCAGAAGGCATATTGGCCAATGGAGTAAGGTGCGTGCCTGATAAGCTGAAGGTCCCGGGTTCAATCCCAACTAGACTTACTTTTTTTTTCTGTTGTCGAAGGGATGTCCCTGGGATATCCTTGGGACGTCCTAGGGATATCCCTTCTTTGTACTCGGTACATCCCAGGGACGTACCAGGAGGGACATCCCTTGGATGTCCTTTTTGTCTGAAAGCGGATGTCCCTGGGACGTCCCTAGTATGTACTTTGTCCCAGAAAAGATATCCCTGGGATGTCCTTATTCGAAATTAGGGACGTCCCTGGGAAGTCCCTAGGATGTACTCGTGTTGTTAGGGAAGGTATTGGTTATTGTAGGTGAATAACCAATAACGTTCCTCCGCCGGAAAATTGTTACACCCCGTGTCATTCAAATAACACCATTATTACTATTAGTCATAGATAAATACTCGTTTCTGGAATTGATAAGACCGAAAAAGGTGACGCAGCTAATTAGTCATTCGGACCGACGTTGTGAATCGTGTGTGTCATTCTTATGTTAGATGTCATCGCGTACGTACGGTCTATACTTAAAAGTGCTCGTATCAGTTTGAAGCAAGAATCTAGTCACTAGTGCATATCGCGAAATACATAGTATACATGGTTTTTCTCAATTAGCATTAATTAGACGTTTCGGGCAAACCAAGCAACAGATGAATCTGAAAATTTGATGGTATGTATAAATTCACATGATCCACACGTCTAAAATATTTTAAACAAAGCGGCGTTGCCACTTCGACTAGAAAGTAGCAGCAACTCTGACTTTTCAAATGGAACACCCTGTATTTTATTGCATTTTTAGATTTTTCCTGAAGAGATGATTTCATCAATACATCACACTTGGAGTCCAGCGATAATGATCACAGACAGGGGCGGCGAGTGCATGGGGGCATCGGGGCCAATGCACCCATGTAGACCATAGGTATGGGTGCAATGCACCCATTGGCCGAAACGAAGATGTACCTATGGAAAAATCGAATAAGAAACGAGCGCTTTTGGCACTTGTAACCATTGCACATTGCTGGACAAAGTGGACAAGTAGGTATCACATTTGAAGAATATCAGGAATGATAGTGAATATGATCAACTGTGGAGAGAAGTTGAGGCTGACGCAAGAAAGTTGAATCTAGATGAAGCCAAGTTACCTCGACAAAGAAAAGCTCCTAGAAAATATGACAGCGGTAGCGAACCACACCAGTTCAACAACACGCAGATCTACTAGGTACAGGAAAATTTATTTCGAAATATTGGATTCGGTTATTATCGGTATTGAGAGACGATTCAATAAGGAGATAAATAATCATTTGGCTGAAATGGAGTCATTCTCTTTAGGCGGGGAAAATCAGAAAGTTGTGGAAATGTATAAAGCAGATTTCACAATTGACCGATTAGTTTTACATAGGAACATGTTTCTTGATGTAATGAAAGAAAATAATGTACGAATAACTAATCTCAATGAGATTTGTGAAGTCGCTTTATCCGATAAATTCTTACATCTAAGAAACATGCTTCCAGAATTTTATAAATATTTGAAGCTGATCGCCACTATTCCCGTCACATCTTGTTCTTCCGAAAGATCATTTTCAGCACTACGCAGACTAAAAACTTACTTGCGTAGTACAATGACACAAAAACGACTCAACAATGTGGCAATATTGCATTGTTATAGAGAACGAATGAATGAATTAGACATAAATACAGTTGCTAATGAATTCATTGGAAATATCACAGTTCGTAGGAATACCTTTGCAATGAATTAACTGCTGTTACTTGCTTATTTTTTCAAATCCCAAAGTTCCTTCATTTCATTTTTGTAATACTGAATTGGTACCTGATTTAAATCTTATTTTATTTTTGTAGTCATGTTTTTACGTTTTCACATAATGTGTTAACTTTTGAGTTGTTTATGTTTTACAATAAAAATTGAAAAAAAATTATTCCTTCATTTCTCACCTTTGTTTATGTTGATATTAACAACAGACCCGAAACCCGATTAGTCAAAAAACATTATATTCTAGTAGGAGTGTTTCACACGTAATGCAGAATCAATATTGCATCAAGCTATCTTCAAATTTGAAGGCATTTGACCTTGGGCCATAAAAAATTTTCGCCTGCGGCGCATTTTTTGTTGGGTTGCCCCAACCCCTCCATTTTGGCACCCATTGGGCAAAACAAAACTCGCCGCCCCTGATCACAGAGATATAAGGTGTTCAAAATCGAGATTTTTCTACTTTAGGTTTTTTTGTCGAAACTCATATCATTGGTCAAAACGGCTTCCAGGTCCCTAGCTCAACTCTTGATTTACTATCTACCAACATTTAATTGGAACAAATACAGGGTAGATTCATAAATAAAGTCCTATTATTATTATTATTATTATAATTCTGATCACCCTGTATATGTTCCAATCAAATGTAAGTAAATAGTAAATCAACAGTAAAGATAGGGACATATGAGCCGTTTCGACAAATAATGAATATTTTGGACACAGAAAAACTCCTTAAGTCGAAAAATGTCGATTTTGTACACCCTATATCTCTGTCATCTTCCGTGCGAGACCCCAAGAGTGATGCGTTCATGAAATCAGCTCATCAGGAAGAATCTAAAAATGCAATGAAAAACAGGGTGTTCCATTTGAGAAAATCGAACTTGCTGCTACTTTCTAGTACAAGCGGCAACGCCGCATCCTTCAAAATATTTAAGATGTGTAGATCATCTCAAGTACTTATACAGTTATACTAATCATAAAAAATTTTCAAATTCAACTGTTGCTTGGTTTGCCAGAACCGTCTAATTAACGCTCATCGTGAATCACCCTGTGTTGCTTAACGAGCACGGAATTGATGTCGTTCCAATTAGAAATTAGCATTACGTGCGAGTTATACACTAAACTTTTTCTACAGCTGTCACAGATAACAGCGAAATTTTTGATTTCTTAGGCTTGAAGCCATCTGATTTTCTCTTGAGTAATGCTTATCTATTAGACAGATCTGTCATTGCTTGAAATATGACATTTCATGGTAGATGAGATTTTGTTAAATAATAGCAATTTTGTGCTATATAGCCGTAGGAAAAGAACTGTTTCAATTCTACAGCTGTGTTTACTGAAAAGAGTGATAATACTGTGTCTTTCAAATACATCGTTCGGTATAGTGATTACATCGCGTTATTCTGTGTTGTATCGGTTTTTTGTGAAGTGTTTTGAGAATTCATATGTGGACTATATTATGCAGATTCCATACTGGTAAGTTTTTCCAATCTTTCCTAACACGTGATAGGCACGTTGCGAGAAAATAAATCGATTTCTTACTCCAAGGAACAAAAATGAATAACGAGAATTTTAGCCTTCTCACAAGACCGATTGAGTACGCATTATACAGTGTGGATCCTAAAATTTCCTGGAGCGAGAGATATAGCGAATATGCAGTCCAGGTGGATTAATCTTCAATGATATACACTGCTTGCCAACAGCCATGGAACCACCCCAATTTCCGGAAAATGATATAAGGAGTCAAAATAGGTTGAAAATCACTTAGGAATCGGAATCAGGACACCCAATTCAATCACTATTCATATTTTTCCTGAAAAATTTTTAGTTATGAAAATTGCATTCTGTCTAGCTTCTCGTGGAAAGACCCCCGTATCTTACGTAATCGTTGGGTTAGGATCCTGAAATTTGCTGA